CTCTCTCTCTCTCTCTGTGTGTGTGTGTGTGTGTGTGTGTGTGGGGGGGCATGTGTGTTTTGCAGGCTAAGTTCCGCATTAGTTTCAGTGCTAATAGAGTTGTGTAGGGCCTAAACCCCAAATAAAAGAAAAGCACTGCCCTTAATCTGAGCAACCTGTCAACTTCCTGATCCATCCCTCTGGTTTCCATGGATACTCCAGCTCCCCGTCCAATCCCCATTGTGTGTGGCTGGTGTGACCAATGGGATTAAGGGGAAAGGGGGCCAGTCAGCACGCTGGGTGCTGTGTTAAAGCCGAGGAGGCATCAAATGTTTTTGTTTGGATTTGTGGACAGGGTCACCACACTCGCCGTTGGGATGTTGTGTCTGGCACAAGGGTTGTGTTGTGTGACCTGTGCATGCCAAGGACACACACACACACACACACACACACACAGTTTCTTTATTTGCGGCAAGTATCACATATGCACTGACAATTTTTCTACACCATTTTGTTTTCATTTGAACACACACACACACCATGAACACACACCCATAGCAGTGGGCAGCCATGTCCTGCGGCGCCCAGGGAGCAGTTGGGGGTTCGGTTCCTTGCTCAAGGGTCTCACCTCAGTCAACTCACCTCAAGGGCCATGAAATGCTCTAACCATTTGGCCTAGATAAATTAATTCAATTTGATTCAATGTGTAAAAATGTATGCTGATACGAAAAAAAAAAACTTTTACCTTTTTACAAATGCTAACCGCTTGTGTACCCCTTGCATCTCTCAATCACATGCAGATGTATATAACGGCCTTATTCTAAATATATGGGCACCTGACAATAATTATGAGCAGTTTGCTAGATTAAGGGGTGACATATGTTACCCACTGACACATCTTACCTCACTTTCTCCTACTCTAGATACAAAGTCAGTGTTTTATATGAGCAGATGCAGTTTAGTGTGGGTTTTATTGTTATGCTGTTGTTGAGGCAAGCACAAGGGGTCAGTAGAGAGCAGCGGGCTGAATATAAAGGGCTTTTGCACCTCATGTGCCCTCGATGAACTCAGCACCCAGATGCAGACAGTTGGCTCTGTTCCAACACATGCTTCTCTGCTGTCCTCACATATGAGCGCCAAACACATACCTTCCCTCTCTCTTCTTCTCTCTTTCAAACACCATTTCTTGCTTTCCCTATTGAACTTTCTTATCTATTTTCAAAAGTTGGCCGGAGGTGCATTTTTAATTGAAAGTTTCCATACTTTTAGTTTGTGTTTTGGGTTGTTTTATGAAACATGTCTTTTCTAGTTTGATAAGGTGCTTTTTAATAATAATAATGTTACATTTTTTATAGCACCTTTCTGAAACGGATTCGATTTATAAAGTTAGATAAACAAATGGACAAATAAACAAACATAGCAAAACTAAAGTTCACAGACCAAGAGCTGAAGAATAATATTCAGAAAGTGTTTTTATTTTGTAGAATTTTAAAACAACAGACATTTAATGTTATTAACAGTTATTTTCTAACAGACATTTAATGTTTAAGCAGTAATAATTAGCGTTTTGCTCAAGCTATAATATGAACTAGCCTATAATATACATTTAAAATACGTTGGGATATAATTATGCCTTCAGTAAGGTAGCAAGGTTGACCGTTTCATTTAGTCATCACAGGCCTTGTTTCAATTGTAAGCTAGTGAAACTACAAAGAGAGAATGTAATTCTGATATTTCTCTATATATCCACTTATCAGTTGTAAATGATTTACAAACACAGCCAGTGGATTTTGTAGAAATATGAGCATTTTGCAATAAAATTGTAAC